ACAGCAGCTCTTGTAAATACAAAGATCACAGCGAGGGCTCCAGGGCTCCAGATGCAGGCATTTTACTAGTTTCTAAAAAGGCTACATAAGAACTTCACTGAAGAAGCCAACAATTACAGAGGAGGACTGCAGGGCCTTTCTGAAATAGTCCTGAGCCGTGAGGGAAGAGAGAGCCCTTCAGCAAGAGAGAAGCACAGAGGGAGAGCAGTCATAGCAGCTCTTCATTTAACAGTTTCTTAGTCTCCCTGCCTCCTGAAAATCCCTTAATTAATAAAGCCGGGGAAAATTTAAGCAAATTAGAGAGCTACAGTCAATCTTCCCACCCCTAGGCTCTAACCCTTTTTCTCTTTGGTCAGCTGGTTAGTCAGGTGAAAGGAGATACTTGTCATTACGTGTAAAACCTGAGTACTCCTCCACTGAGCAGAACTCCCTCTGTGTTCGGATCAGGGTTAAGTCTTGACCAGAAATCTCACTGTCTGACCCCAAGATGACCAGAAGCCAAACATTCCGCTTGGAAAAACAGCTATCAGAATTGCTCTTGATTTGCTTGTGTAGCCATGTGTCAGCTACCAACATCCTTCACTCAAAAGAAAAGAAAGCACTCAGATCCTATGCAAAATTACTAGAATACATGTTTCTGCATGGCACGCAGGGCCTTTCCTGCAGCACAAGCCCAGCCCAGCCAGAAGCCCTAGCTGGAGAGGGTTCCCTTTAAGCATCCCTTAGGTCCCAGAAGAAGATCCACAGCACAGTGATCACAGCAAGCATTCTCCAGCCTTTCAGCAGCACTTCTGCTGATACTGAAAATCAAGAGTCACTCCAAGGAGTAAAAAAGCCTCCATTTAACTGCCACTACAGAGTTGGCGGTATTTACTGGTTTCAACATTAAGCTATAAAGATAGAGAACCATAAACATCTGCTGGAAATACTACACTGGAGTTTCATTTTAAGTAACTGTTGTTTGGCTGTATTCAATTGAGAAGATTAAAATTGCTTCTTAGTAGTTATTCCCCATCATTCCCAATGCCTTTGTCCCTCATTCAAGACCAGAGAAGTAGCAACCGCATTGACAGTAATGCTTTCACAGTTCGTATGGAACAGAATGCTTTCATATAAAGAAGAAAGGAGTTATGCATGAATAAAATAGTAAAGGCACAAGGGAAAGGAAGAGGAAAGCAAGTTAGCAGAGCATTTCAAATGCATTAATAAATCATAAATTTACACTGAAATGTCACTGTAGCAAGTTTCCCTTATGCTGGTCACTGAATGACAGCATAAACTTTGCTTGTGAATATGCGCAAGGCTAAAACGTGCTGCCATGTTTGCACAGCACTTGTAAGAAAAATGCTGCTTGGAGCATATATTATCATCACTTTTTAGCACTACAAGTCTTGTCACATGGCGTCTAACAGCCTGTCTTAGTTCAGCATGGAGTACTGCAGAAAGGCAAACGGAACACCACAAATGTACCATATACGCTTCAGATCTCATTCAGAGTCCCTAAAAATATAAAATCCAGAAAAAAACGGATTCCTATTATGTTGAAAATGGAACAACTTCATGCTCTACTGACTTCTTCATGCAGCGGATCTTGGGGAGAAGATGTAAGATGATGCCATGCAGAGATGCAAGGAAATATTTTTTGAAGTGGAAGAATCAGATGAACCATGAATCACCAATGCTACTGCTCAGTGTGCGCATGCTCTCATTGCTATTTTCACATCACTGACCACCAGCATACCGCCCTTGCCCAAGGATCTCAAGCACTGTTTTCTAAGACTCTTAAGCAGAGAAGAAACAATCAAAAGAGAAATCGGCATAACAGCTGCAGTACTTTCTGACTTTTTCTACTCTGAGCTGCAACTTTCCATCTAAATCACTGTTCCATCCCCAAATTCCAAGTTTAAAGCCAGAAACTACTTTGATTGATGGGTGAAAGTAAGAGTCAGTATGAATGCACGTGAATCAGACATAAGCAAGCTACTAAAGACACTGAAAATCTTACCTAGTTTTGCTTCCACAGTAAAGATTCAACTATGCCAAAAGTAAGTACTGTAATTTGATGTTGTTTTATAGATCACTCTTAGGAAGACATTTTAAATAGTGTATTCTCATGCATGCTGCTGCTGGATTTCAAGATTGTATTGCTACACATCCGGCTTGTGATGGTGCTAAATTCAACAAGATTCAAAAAACACATTCTAATGAGAGCAAATACTTAAAAATGTGGGTTTTTTTTTAAATGTGCTGCCCTTCATACTACAGTCAGCATTTGGATCTGAGTCATTTAGACATAGTTTGCTTGAACTTTCTGAAACAGCACAAGTCAAAATTAAAAAAGATAAGACAAAATTACAGTAGGCAGCAGAACTACACCCTCTCAACTTCTCCTTTTTCACCTCCACTATCTTACCAGATGTTTTATAGCCACAGGATCAGAACAATTTCTGTTAGAAACGGCTAACAGAGATCATCTGGTCCACTGCAGAAACTATCACCAGCTGCAAAGTTACATTCAGCTTCAGTATCAGACTAAGTTACTCAAAGTCACATCCAACCTGGCATCCAGTTTCACTAAAAAGGGAAATGTAACTTCCATGGGAAAACTGATTCAGTGACTGATTGATTAATCCTTTTTTTTTTTTTTTTTAATTGTACTTTATCTGAAATTTCCCTTTCACTCTAATTTCAGAGTTATCTTTTTCCCTTCTTAGTCTTCTCACTAAGCCTTCTTCATAGTGATCTATATTTTAAAAAGGCTTTAAGAAAATAGAATCCAAGTCTTTATCCTCTAGAGTCTTACTTTCTTTGACTGCACATACTCTCTTGGCTTCCTTCTACAGCTCTTGAGGCAAAAATTAGATACTACACACCACCACCTCCATTGCTTTAGAAAACTGAGGAACTGCAATTAGTCCTTCTCACTTGCCTCCCAAAATAAGCATTTCAAGTGCATAATCTTTCAATTAAAGACTACATACTGACACCTTCGATCAGCCTGTTGCAAGACACATACCTGGTTGGCAAGGAAACTATTTTTCCTTTTTAATACTGAGATCTACACCATTTAGTACATATGTTTCAGCAAAGACTTGAAAAGCTATCTTAGTCAAATTCCCATAAAGTTCTTGAAAGAAGTTAATGCCTCCTGCAGAAAATGAGGATAAAAACTATTGAGAGAAGTTACTTCCTACACAGACCTCATAGAGCCCAAGGGAGAACTGCAGCAAAAAAGAGCTGTTTTTAAGAGAAAACATCACTGAAGCAGTATTTCATATAAGTGACCTAACAGGTAAGAGTGGGTAATAACATCTCAGACGTTACTGTGTCAAAGAAGCACTTAGATAAGTAAGGGAGACTCTAGGAAAAGTCATAGTGCAAAGACATGTGGGACAAGCCTTGCGCTCCATCACTGATCTCTGATCTTTGTCAACTGTTTTGAATAGCAGCGACAGCCAAATGAGTGGTTTCCTCTACATTCTGAATTTAATGTTATTTCTGTTGCATGTTTGGTTTGATTCTTCTGCAGGTTAGAAAAAAAACAAACTAATGGTGTTGACAGTTCGGCATGACAGTTGAGATAAGCCATTACAGTTAGTAAAATAATTAGCCTGAAAATTAAAGAACCTAGCTCAAGTATGTGCTAAATGGAACAACCATCCAGCACAGCAAATAGGAGAAGGATTTTGCAGTTACAGTGGAAGAAACTATGAAACAAATCAACCCACAGTGCACGTGCAATAAACAAGTGGGCAAATAAGATGTTATGTTTGTACATACTGTGCAGTGTGAGCAGAATAAAAACAAGAGAGGTTACAGGATTTACTGTACGAGTCCCTCTGCCTGTTGTATGGTACACTGTGACTTTTGAGAGCTATTAAAGCAATAAAAATAATACCAGATCTTGACATTAAAGGGCAACTGCTGTGGCGTCAGAGATGCAGCTGTATGAAAGAGGACTTCAGCGTGGCCTACCAGAACTGAAAACTGTGCAACAGACTAGTAAAACCAACAGAAATAAAGTTTTAATGCTAGCAAGACATTTACAAGTTAAGGAAGATAGCTCCTGCTAGCCTACTCTTTGTTTGACTAATGATTTCAGACAGCTATTTCATCCAAACACCAGCATTCGTATAGAATAAAAGACCAAAATTAAGTGAAACAAAAACGAAATGAATTAAATCAGTGCAAGTGATGGTTTGATTATTTTCTTAAGAAGCTAGAAAACAGACACAATAAAAAGGTAACCTGCACATACAGACCTCTGTATCTAATGCTTCTTGGGGCAGCACTGAAAAAGCTCATTTTCATAGTCACACTCAGCCAAACAGGCAGATTCATTGAGACAGTGGTGATTCTTGAACAAAATATGGCTTTGTGCTTTCTGATCAACCTCCTGTAGGTTTTTTTCCTTAAGCCTATTTGGGAAGCAGTCTTTTCCTCCCAAAAGCAGTAGAAACACTCCAGCCTATCTCCTCAGGATCACACAGCACTGTTCTTGCCTCCACCTTGTTTGCAGGGACAACTGGGATGTGCTTCACATGCGCATTCCTGGTCTGAACAAACACATTGCCTGTGCTGGTATGGATGTAGCCAGAGTATCTGAACAAGCTCCTATTAGGTGGTACAGCTCCATCTACTGATGCTGATATTCCCCATGTAACAAATGACTCCGCAGCCTGAGTTCAAGCAAATACTTTTGTTTCCATGTGAATGCCAGTGTCGTTAGAAGACATTCAAGGACAGAAACAGCAGGAGCAAGCAGGGACATATGCTAAGAAGCCTTAAGAGTTATAGAACAGGTTAATGCCACTGACAAGAGAGGACGCTCAGAGCTTTAGCAGCAGAGCACCGAAAAATTCTGAGTAGTCCTCATCAAAGGCAGAAATCCATCTGTTAAGACTCACTCCAAGTCACACCAGGCATTAATCTGACCTCTGGTGGAAACGGAACATAAGCAAATGACATTAAGGGAAAAGTTTTTAATTAAGTAACACAACTTGGGTTACATTATTTTTATTATATTACTTTTAGTTATGTACAGCTTTTTCTTCATTCAATATTATTACAGTAGTATTCCCTAAGTTATATAAGATTTTATTAACACTTTGTCTTACTTGACAGTTTCATTTGTGCATGAACTCAAGAGATTTTATAATTGTATTTTCCATTACTAATATATTCCTATACGAACACTGGAGTAAGGGGGTTATAACAGTATAATTAAAAGAAAAGGAATTTAATTTCTTTCTATAGTGCAGAGGTGATCCAGCTTCCAGCAAGTAATGAAGAGTATCACAACTCAGTATCTAAAAAAAGAAGGAAAATTTCTCCTGTGGTCTGCTAAACCCCACGCACCAGATGACCATCACAAAAGAGAAGGAACCTCTAGTGATTTTGGCAATGATGCTGAGGTCCAACAGTATTCCCTGGGGAATGATATTCAGCTGCTCTTAGGAGCCATATGAAAACCCCAAATTATTTGTACCCTCCTCCAACCCCCTCTCACACATACCGCATCAGATGTTAGGAACTACAGATACTAACTTCACAGTATAGAAGTTTCTATCTTCAGACCTTCTGTGCTGGAGCACTCATTAGAAGAGATGGGACTACCATTTTTAACAGTCCCACATTTTTAGCACAACCGCAAGCAAGCAGCCAGCTAACTGAACAAAGCAATGTATTGCAAAAGGAAGAGACCCGAGAAGTGACTACTTTCAGTTTCCTTCCCCAGGTGGAATAATACTGACATTTATGCTTGGGTATAAGGATGGAAGCAGAAACCATGCTGTGTGCCTTAGCTTTGGCTATGGCTTTTCTTCAGCTGAGCAGAGACACTAGTAGACCCTATGCTGAGAAGCCCCAGACATACTGGGAAACACTAAGAACAGTCTTGAAAATGCTCAGAGATCTGCTTCATTCACCCATCCCACAAAACATTGCTTATACTCTAGTTAAGACTGCCAGAACCTCATTTAACATTTTCCATTAATCTACAGCATCTTCATCTATTCTTCAGAAAGCAATCATTCCAGTCTGTGTAATTTGTTCTGGGAGGAAGGAAGGCCTCTTTTTCCACTTGAGGAAATTAGGAGGTATGGAGAATCCTCACCCCAGACTGACACTGGGATAGAAAAATATCTCAGCCTGACAAATTAAATGTCATTAGTGCTTCAGATAAAGTAGCTTTCATCACCCAGGCATGTTTTTGCCAGCTGCTTGCTCATTAGACTTCAGAGGAAAGCAAAGGAAACTGAAGAGACAGACACGAAAGCAGTGCTTTTCCACAGCTTCACAGTGGCAGCAACATACAGCCTGACCACAGAACTAGCCACACCACCGGCTGCAGGCAGCCACCTCCAGCCACAGAGTTTACAAACCAGCACTGTGGTACCTCTTGTTCTGCAACTTTAAAATCCACCACCAGCTTTCAGATACTGTTCCTGACAATGTTATTTTCCTACTGAACAGACCTGCAATGAAAAGCGCTAGATTACTAGGCCTGCTGCACTGCTCCTCAGCCCCTTTGAAGTAACTGCAGTTTTGCACTGGTTCCTACTGCAGCCTACATGCCCTGCATCAAAACAAGAGAAGCTAATGAACTGAAAAAGGTCATAGTTCCACGGGTACAGGGAGAGGATGGCAGGAAGTATGCCATTAAGTAACGAGTTGATACATTATAGTAGCTCATGTCTGCATTTATTCCTCCTCAGACAGGCAAGTACCTGCATTGGTAAAAAGCTCACTGAATCCATTAAACACTGGAAATAATGTACAAATGTTATTATTTTAAGATGGCAGTGGCTTTCCTGCTAAAAAACTTCATGACTATTACAATCACTAATTCTCACACTTCATCTGAGCTAAATTATGAGTCTCAAGACCTCATAAAATTAATTGGAGGAATTCGCAGCATCAAAAATGTGTTTTACATGTCTAGACAAATCTGATTATCATCACGCCCTTCTGAAGTATGCTATATATTCCTGGCATGTCAGATTTTACAGAGCATTACCATTAAATAAGGTCTAAGTTCAGCTGACAAATCAGAATTATGACTAGGATGAATCTGTTAATTGGAGATTTAAGTAACTAATTATGTTTATGACAAGCAAGATAAGGTATTTTAACAATAGCATAAGGGGTTTCTTCGACCCCCCCCCAAATATGCAATTCATATTAAATACCTATTTCTTGAACTATTTTCAGTATAACACATCAGAAACTTAAGATAGAAAAAAAACAGTTTTCACTGCAGAGTATGCTTCACTGGTAGTCGAGTATTTTGAGATGAAATGCATTTTCTTCCAAGCTAAAAGTAATTGAGGGCACTAAACTCACAGTAAAGGTTCAGTCCCGGAATCTACAGATTTTAAAATTTAACATTAATGGAGAAGCCTGGAGACATTAAAGGAAAAAGTGGCTCTAATTCTGCTTCCTGAAGATGCTATGCATTTTGCTAGTGGTTACTGCAAGCAAGACAGACCTTACTCAAAACATCCAGTTGGAAACACAGATTTTCACTTGCTGTTTCTGTTTTGCATCTAAAACAAGGTGTCTGGGTGTCCTGGGTTCCTATTGTCAACCCCAAAAGCTGAAGACAACTTCTTAATTACTTTAATACCTGTTCCGCACTTGTTGAGTAAGCAGGTTATCTCTATTGCTCCAGACACAGAAAAGGAATTGTGAAGCCTGCATATGAATTGCATCAATTTCCATTACAACGTGTTGAAACAGGGCACCTTGTCTGCAGATGGGGTGGCATGGGCAGTTAACCATGAGGTGAGACACTTCAGTCCTTTGTGCAGTATTGGCAAAACAAATGCATGAGCCTTAAACACACTCGGCAGCACAGCTAGGCTAAGGCAGACTAGACTGTTCATAGTAGTAGCCCTTAGCACTTGCCATAATCAAGATACCATTGTGAGCGTGCTGTTCTCTTACTAATATCCTGCTCAGAAATGAGATTACAGAGTGCGGAAGCTGAACAAAGGCAAGCGCAAAGGTGATCTGGACAGCTTTTGTTTTCTCAGGCAGAGATACCTGGACCTCAACCAGCAACAGGAAAATGAGAAGCAGCGTGAGGTAAGCTGAGTGAAGGGAAAGGCACAGCAGCCACTCAGAGAAGAGGGCAGGCTGTAACAGGCAGTTAGCGACTTGCATCTCACTCAATCAGCTCAGACCAGGATCCAATTCTGTTAGCTGAAAGCTCCTGCCAGTGGTACTCTCATTGTCTACATAAATATGAGGCACAAAGCCATACCAGAAGCATCATAAATCATAATTCTCAGTTTCCTAAAGCTTGGAGGGCTTAATTATTGTGATAATGTTCACAGAAAACAAGAATTGGATGTACATTACTTGTCTGCAATAAGAACTTGTGCCACGTCAACCAGCAAGCAGAAAGGACAATGTAAACCACCAGCACTTCACATTCTCATGCTCTACAGCATCTCATGACTTAGCAATGCTGATTATTTCCATTGTGATCTAAGTGTGTTACTGGCACAATAATTATCTTTTCCCCACCTTAACTACCAAAATTAAACAAAAAGCACTTCCATTTCATTCTTTCCAGATTAACACCAACTCCTTTCATTTAAATATGCCTATCTATTCTTATTTCCAACGTTATGCTGTTCCACTAAACTAAGCATCTTTTCAAGGCATATCCTCTGCTATCCTACTGTAAGGACACAAGATTTAACACCAAGGCAAAACTCAGAAAAACACTTAGATAATCTTATCAAGCTGATGTTTGTTCATCTCCAAGCCATATTGAGGCTTTTCTTAGCACTGCAGTGCCAAACAGTCCCTACGTGAGGTTCCCTACTTACATGTTGCCAGAGACATCTACGTACATAGACCACTAACTTTTTTCCCTACCATGGAAAGCTGGTGCATTATTACTCTGCCATTCCTGCAAATGTTTGCTGTAGAGCAAGCCATGTCCTAGAACTTACTGTAAAAGCATAACATGAAAAGAGTAATCCAGTTCTAGAACACTGCCAATGTATATATGAGCTGAGAGATGAGATAATGAACAGAGGAGTAAAAAGGATGCAATCATAGCCAATAGAACAAGGAGGAATATGAGGAGGCCGAGGAGATATTTGGTACTGCATAAGAAGGCAGAGAGTTGGCAAAAGACATTAAGATGGTTTTGCAAAGATTTATGAGAGCATGTGAAGTGTGTATTCATCAGAGAAAAATGTCAAGGCATTTGCAAGAGACAGTTTTCAAAAGCACCAAACTCATTTTGTGCATCCTATTCTCTTTTGGTAGGACTGATACTCACAAAGCACTTGGAAAACACGGGGTATTGTTTTCTGGATCCACTTTTAAAATATATAACGCAATGTAGACAAATAAATAGAATCAAATTGCTTTACCAGATCATGTCAAACATAATTCTGAGTGTCCTAAGTGCTGTAAAATCATTTTGTGGCCTTTGGTGCATCATTTAGACTGTCTGCAATGATATCTATTCCACAAGCAAACCGTGAGCTACCATTCGTATCCTGCAAGGATTTTAGGAAACAAACTTAATATGGCCTGGTATTAAAGAAGGCCTTCTACTTTGAAAAGCACTGGTTTTTGTGAAGTCTTGGTAGAGAGTGGGACGCACAGACATCTGACAGAGCACATTCAGGCAGGGATGCCTGCTTTGACAGCACAGCTTGAACTCAGGTATGTCCGGAGCCTTAACCAACATATTTTATAAGAGTGGGTAGCAGAACAAGATGTGCATCAGTCATGATTCAGTTGTGTGGCTTGGAAAGGGAGCTGTCTAATACTGATTGGAAACAAGAAACAGTAACGATAGTCAGGAAATTTGCTTCTACACTGCATTGCTCAAAGCATATTCTTCCCAATCAATTACAGTGTGTTCAGAGTGTCAGAAAGACAGTACTTGCCTCTGATTAAGAGAAACCTGATACTGAAACCAGAACTAATTGAGACTGTGCCCAACTGTTCAAAAAACCTATTATTTTACACGTTAACCTAAGCTTCCTTCAGCAGCTACTGTAAGTGAAGAATATGTCTGCTCTGGGTTTAAGATGAAGACAAAACACCATCACTATTGAATTATCACAGGCTCCATCTGTGCCAAAATTTAAAAAGAAGTCCAAATATCTATGAGCTTACACAATTTCACATTTCAGAGTAGATATCTTACCTATATTGTTTTGTATATTCAAATGCTGGAATGAATTCAATAAGCAAGATGACTCACAGTGTAACAGGTAAATGAAAAAGCAGCGGAGCAAACTCTTAAAAAACCCATGAGCCACACAGACATTTCTGGCTGAGCATAGAAACTAATTGCATTTACTACATTACTATATTACTTCTGTATTACTGTACTCTGTATTGGGGCTAAGTTACTCCTCATTGTGTGTTCACTTACATGTTTAAGGAAGTCTGTTCAAGATCAACATAATGCACTTGTTACGTAGCTCCGATTTTGGAAGACCTATGAAATGTTCGAATGCTGGTAGTAATGACAGTAGTACAGAAGTGAGAGAAAATTCAGACTACACATATAGGGCAAGAAAATAAGTCTTCAAAAAAGAACAAGAAGGCATTTGGTTATGAAGTGGCCCCCTATTCTATGTATATATATAAATATATATTTACTACTCGTATTAGATATGCATTTACATAAAATAGAGCACCAGGAGCTCAGTTCGAGCTACAAAACTGTGCACGGATCTTACATGCTGGAGCAAACACAAGGCCAAACAAGCTGAAAAATAATACACAAACCAAGGTGTAGCAAACTGTAAATGACTTAGGAGTCACCTGCACCTGTCAGTAGATCTGACAACTCACAGGCAATGCTGACCACTTTGAACAGCACAGTAGTCCTCCAGGAAAATAATGTGATGTATTTGTGCCACATGTCCAAGGAATTACTGAAATATTTTCTGTTGTTGTTACTTCAGAGCCAAGGATTTTTTTTACAGGCCAAAATGCTGAGTTAGTAGAAGTCTTATAAACATACATGAGAAACTACCAAATGTAAGCAGAGATGCTTCATTCCTTGTACAAAGTATATATATCTTCCAATAGCAGCAAATTCTCAGGCTCAAACAAGATGAAGCACCTATTTTCAAGCATACCTCAATAAAGCCAATGGGCTTACAATATCAGGGATAAACTTCTTGTTTCATGAAACTTAACTTACTACTTTTTTCCTTGTTTCACCACACAAGTTTCTTTTTAGTGATCATCTGTATTTGCTTATTTCACAGTTATTCCTAAAAATGTTACCTGTAAAGTATATATCTTAAAGAACACAAATAACTTTGATATTTACTAAGCACATATTCTTGGACAAATAACATTCTGTTATACCCTTTATACACATGGATAAGATGAAGAAAAAGAAACAGCAGAAACCCTTACCTTTCAAAGGTGGTTTCCATTTCTCATTCAAGAAACTGCAATAAAAACATGAGATTTTTTTATTAATTTGCTCCTCCATTAAGCAGAAGACATTGTAAGTGTCAGCCAATGTCTGTAAGAATTTCAGAATTGGTTCTGCCTAGTGGCTCATTAAAATCTGATAAAAACAGCACTCTACCTTAAAGCTAAACCTGCTGCTGTTAAAAATGAAGTATGTTGTCATATTCTTTTAAGTTAGAATACATATTTGGGTGCATGCACAACAGTGAAAATTAGGGAAATACCACAGTGAGAAAACTGTTAGAGCATTTGTGTATAATACACAGTGAAGTACAATGCTCCATATTTTCCTTCACCTAGTGAATCTTTCTACAGAATGATGTAATATTTGACACATCTTTGGGGGCAGATGCAATAAAGAATGCATTGTCCTCTGCCATAGCTTCACAGCTGACTTCCGCAGCCCATATTCTATTTGATTTCTGAATCACAAATAACCTTGCAACCGGTCTACTTTTATTATTTTGGCATATAACTAGGCTGATGTATAACTCTATTTCTATAAGCACCCATTTCCTCAACAGGAATCTGAATTTTATCAAACATCTCATTTATCAAAGCAAGTTCTTTTTATATATGCAAAACTTTTTTTTTTTTTTAAATCAATCTCTACTTGGAAAAAAACTTCAGCATTATTTTTCTTTTTCTTGGAGATAATATGTACCACTCCATATGAATTCCTACGTAACACCACATTTTGTTAAGAACACACTCAAACTGCACCTATATTGGAAATA